CAGGTGGAAATTAAATTTACCTTCTGAGGAGGGCATAACTTCCTACAGAGGCCGTAATCAGTGATCCTCAAGTGGCCAATGGAGTCTATGAGGATGTTCTCGGGTTTTAGATCGCGGTAAATGAAGCCCATCTGGAAAAAAACAAAAAACAAAATTAACAAATTTCTTCTGTTCTGTTGTGTTTCCGTACTTATTGTGGCTGTGAGATGCACAACCCAGCAGTTTGCTTTTCTGCTACGCTGTAGCTGCTCGATTCCCGGCGGTGCCCGAATTTATAACTTGTGTTGGGCAAGGCCGTGGTCTAGGCAACACGGAGTTTTCCTCCGGGGGCTTCCCCGGTTTCTCCGTGGCATCCCATTCACACACAGAAGAAGGCAATGGCAAACCACTTCTGGATCATCTGCCAAGAACGTATATGAACAGGTCCCAGTCCGAGAAAAGAATGGAAGGATCCTGTTCATATGGACATGTCGTCAGACAGAACACTAAATAATAAAAATATATAGTTACTTTTCTGAACAACCGGGGAGGGGGGGGAGTTCCTTAGTACAATAACACAGAAACCGGGAACTGGACCTGATGATGGCCACACTGGTTCGAACTCTGTTGCCAAATTGAGAAGATAGTAAACAGTGTGCTAAAAGTGACGTACAGATAAATAAAGAATCAACAAATCATACCGGGATGCTACAAACTTTAGAACCTCGCAGTTTTTAAGTACCGGTAGAACGCATCAGTCAGAAAGTTTTAGAATATGCAGAGATCAGCTGCTAATGTTCATACACACAAGTCGCGTTCAGTGCTGGCAGTAGTCGTGTTTGTCCATATTAAAATAGATTAATCTCGATTTCAAATATATGAAACATGTAACAATCAATTAGCGTTGATTCGGAGCATCAGTAATAGATGTAGTGTTCAAAAACAGGGATAACGCAAACTGCGAAGAGTGAGGGGAACAGGACTTGATCGGATTGTTTTAACCTTGATTAGAGACCAAATTAAATTACAAATAAATTATAAGCATTCAAACATTCGCCATTTGGTGTAGACCTAGTGCATTTTAGAGTTCCAAAGGATTAGACATTATAGATTTTAAAACCTGCTAGTACACTGATCCAAATTCCCTTGCAACACGTCGCTATACTAAGTTCAGGGAATAAGTTAGCAGTGTTTAGAAAGTTACGATTTTCAGTAGCATAGCTGTACGTCTGATATAAAAGAGCTATTACAGAGAAATAAATATTCGAATCTAAGCAAAAATTTATTATTTTATTCGAAAATATAGACGTCTCAATTCGCGCTCTCGAAGTTTACGTTCTTTGTCCAGAAGCTCACATAAATCTCCCCCTTCCATAAAGTCTGTGAACACATTGAAAATAACAATATTTCCAGACCTCCTTATTTTAACGACCATTACTCTTACTAGATGTCAGCGAATAGTAGTGTATTGAATATTAAATTCTACAAAATGTAAGTGTAAAGGTTGAAGGGTAACATAGTTTAACAAGAAGCAAGGAATTCTTCCCTAATTCGGCTGCGAATTCTGAATCTCTACTAAGCGTAGTTACACACTTCAGTTCGTTGCCATTCAGGACCCAAACACCCAGTCGCGGTTCTGTCCCGAACATGAGAGCAGTTCTTCATGTACTCACCCATCACAAGGTGCAGATGAGATTTCGTGACGAAGGTGTAGTGCGACTTAACCAAAAACGGGCTGTCGCCTACCTCCGCTGACACGATGCACTCCGTCTGCGTGTGCCGGATAATCACTGTGCTCCTAGTGATGTCATTCATTTCCATTATCTTCATTGCGTAGTATTTTCCCACATTCAAGCCTCTAATCTGCTTGACCAAGTGAACCTCCCCGTAACCTGTAAAATTTCATGTGTTACTAATTGATGCCCTTTCAACAAAAGGTTCTCACGTAAGAAAACAATCTCCTCATACAGATTAGGAGTCAGTACAATTTCTATGCAGCGTCTAAACTTCTTGAGTGAAAAAGAATTTTTCAGTATATTCTGTAGTTTCAGTTCAGAAAAACACTAGAATCACTTGCTGTAAATGCGAAAGTTTTTGTAGTTTCTAATTATTGGAGCACATAATTTCAAGTAAGGGATATGAATAGCCCTACTAATTGAGAGTAACATAATAAAACTTTATTTAATCTTATTACAGGTATTCCATAATTAAACTTTTCCTGTTATAATACTTCTGTGCTAAATCTCTTCGAAGGGTTGATTGACCAAGTCAATGCCCGAATTCATTACTTGCCATCTTGTTTTGAATCTACCCACAAATAAACTTTTACAGGCCATAGGTTGAAAATTATCTACGTCAGAACAGGCTCTACATAATTCTCAGTTTGAAAATAACTAGATATGTCACTCATGCATTAAAATGTTGGTCGGCGTGATACAATGCAAAATTAAAATCTCATTGACGTCGGTAACAAGGACCGCGCCACAGAAATGTCCTGTCAGCCTCTACTCGCAGATTTCACTCTCGATTGAGTTTGCAGTGCCCGGAGGTAGCGGTGAGATGCTCGTCTCCTCATTGTCTGCTGCTTAAGAATTGCGTTTGTGAAAGTCCACGGAGATGGCAAAAAGATTCAGTGCGGTTCCGTCGATGTTAAGAATTCTTCTACCCTGTTATGAACTAGACCTAGCGTCACATAAAAGGATCAGTAAGGAGACAACGACAACGAGGAAGCATTAGTAACAGCTCCGATTAGCCAATGTACTTTGCTAGGAAGGCGTTCAGTAACTTGTCAGCCATCATAGAAAAACGTAAGAAGAAATCAGTTTTGTTGCTGATACATTTTCATTGTCTTACAGAAAAGATAAATAAATCCTGAGTTATTTTAAATTATCTCCCACGACTTATTCTGACTTCTAGAAATAAGGAAATATCGCACTTACCTCCTTTTCCTATCATCCACAGGCGTTCAAAATCGTCTAAAGTGATATCGTCGGTCTGTGGTTGTCTATCTGTAACACAGCATCAGAATTACAGGTTTAACCGTGAAGCAACTTTTATTTGCACTAATCATTATATTAATCTTACGAGTAAAATAAACCATGATCCTGAAATGTACGAGGTTTCTGTGGGCTGGACACGTAGAACTCACGAGGGACGGCAAAGCAAATGTACAGAATTTGGGTGGGAATCCTTTGGAAAGCGATCACTGGTCAGACCAAGAAGGAGATGGGGGGATAGAATGAAGAGTGATCTTAGGGAGTGGAGTTTGCTCAGGATTGTGTCCGTTGGCACGCTTTGGTGTTGATGGTGTTGGACCTGGAGCTTCTGATACAAGGAGTTAGTTAGTTAGTAAAATAAACCATGAAATTCCCCATCGTGCTTAGTTATGGAGGAACCAGTCACTGCCACTTCGAATGGCGGTCTGTTTCCTGATATGCAAAGTTATTGTCTTTAAAAGAAACATGTCAGCTGTTTCAAATATTTCCAACAAACATAGCACATTGTCTAATGTTAAATGACGCTAGAGGCTAGCTAAATGAAACGGGCTAAGATTCATGCTTCCGGATGAAATACAAATGCCAGAAAATGTGCTGAGTTCAAGGCACCCCCGTCAGCGTAAGCAAACTCCCGTTTTAGTTACAAGGCTCTGAATCCCATTTCCAGCAATGCGTTTCGTACTTTGCGCTTGCGCAGAACTCCGCCTTTACTCGGCTCCCTCCGCCTTTACTCGGCTCCCTCCGCCTTTACTCGGCTCTCTCCGCCTTTACTCGGCTTCTTGGTCGGTTGTATGCCCGACTAGCAGAGGTGGGTTATGAGCGAAGTGTTGATGTGGGAATGAGTTATATAACATCAGGGAATATACGTGTGGAAAATGTGAATGAGAGGAATGGGACGGCCGTCTTAACCCGTCGAAGCCTTTAAAAACGAGACACGATACTTCATTTGCGATAGTAAGCCTCCTCACTGCCACCATCAAACCCGAGGACAGTTCAGTCTGCTGTGCATGTCATGTTCCTATGTTGACTTGCCATGAGGTCCCATTCCACAACGTTACTATTTACAATACAACGCGAACTGCAGAGCGACACGTCTGCTCCGAACCGGGCCATTCGCTGGCCAGACACAAGCCCGCACAGCATCTACGTTAAGCTACAATCCTAAAATATAAATCTAACAAATTTCCAATGTATTATAATTATAACTTTTGATTTAGAAAGGTACTATCAAGATCAAAACCTAACTCAAGCCTTTTTCTTTCCATACTAACCGAATTGCATCCAGAAAGGGAAGTTCCTGTTCATCTCTGGTTGCTTGTCCGCTATCGTACTCAGACCAGGCAGTCACAATGTCCTTGGTTTAGTTTCTTCGTTTGTTGACAAAAAAAATCGGGATTCTACTCAGGCACCTGTAGTCAAAAAAGATATATCCTGTTACCTTCCAACAGCGCTCTTTTAAATCCAACAAAAGAAATTCGGAACACACGAAATACAAATTTATACTAAGTACTTTACATGGTTGGAAATAACGGCACTGAGGCATTCTTTACATGCGCCATTTTTGGCGAAGGAAGCTTTATGGCCAACCCTGTGCCCCTATTTTGTAGCATATAGAAGGTAATGATTTCTCCTGGGTTGTCTCTCCAGGAATAAGATATTTTTATGTATTATTCATCCTTGGACGCAGTAGCGTATATGAATTTTGGACAATCCTGAGCGCTATTTAAAATCTAGGCAATTTCCCGTGGTTTTTCAGCGACGAGCGTTGCCTTGTACATCCCTTAGCCCAATTTTGGAAATAAATTCTCCCCCCCATTGTTCCTCTCCAGTTAGTAATTTGTTTCGCGTTTTTCACGACTCGCCATTTGGGAGAGACGCGTGGCCCACGCTCTCCGTTGCAATGCACCGGTGAATACCGCGCCACTGCCAGGCGCACTGTCGTCAGACGCATGCGCGATGGCGCGAATTTTAAATGTACATTCGAATTTTTAGAATTTTTTTTCGCACCCTTGCACAGCGAATCAGCGGCTGAGATTTTGTGTACAGTCATTACTAGATGGGCTCTGCAGACGAGCAAAGTTTCAGGTGAGGTTTCGACACGACCAATCGGACAATTCCCTCGTCAGTGCGAGTAAGAGTGTAATAAATTACTTCATTAAGATAAGTAATTTTGACATCAAACCCTCTTTCAGACCACAGACCAATCGTTCCGTTTACTGCTGTTTAACTGGATGGTGTATTCAGACGCCTGAACATTTTTAAACATTGGTGTTCAATGACAAATGTGTAATGATTACATATTTAGTGTTAGAGACTACTATCTAATCTTATGGTAACCGCGGTTAAGAATCCTCGAAACTTTTCAGTGACATTTCGGGAACCAGGGGACAAGAAACATTTTGAGAAGCGTTGTATTGCAGTACTCTGTTCCACCGATCGATTTGGTTTGCGTAGGTAATATTTCCCCTACCTGTAGCTCGCGGGCAACGCCTAAGCAATTCCACACGTTTCCTGGCAAACTACGAAAGAGACTTAAACCACTTCTTTATTCCCAAGTGACTCTGACTTAAGTCTCTATCAGCCTTTTAGCTTAGCCGGAACTCAAATAACTTTGTTGGTGATGGCCGACGTGTGTGGTTGCTATCATTTGGATGCTTAAAAATTACACACAAACTCTCAAAATACCACAGACAATTACAAATGCAAAATCAAATAATAATATTAATAAGAAATAGGAAACCTTTGTCTCACCCTTTGTGAAGAAGAACAGACCTCAATGTCCACAGGAGCAAAAGTTTAATCAGAAATTAAATATAAAGAGTGCAGGACACTGTCACGAAATTGTTGATAATTCACAGAAGATAAAACACGAGTTATTTTCAAAGGTTTTCATAAACAATGTAAGCACAAAATTATCTAGACCACGACGCACTTCATGAACAACCGATTAACACCGCAATCCTTTCCAAAGTAACGAATCCCGATTGTTGACTGAAGTGTATACCAGTACAACAAAGCCGACGTAACATATGACGCAAGAATCAGTAAAGGAGTGCAATAAGGTTCATTCAGGCTATTATACTGCGTGCGTAAGAAATAGAAAATGTACCTTATGACATGCTCAGTCGAGATTGTTGCACGTGTTCTTTAGAGATTCCAATCCCTTTTCTTACATTGTTGAACGCGCGGGTGTTTTTTTTAGTTACAGGAATACTAAAAAAATTACTCCAAGTTATAATTTGGTTACATTCCATCATAAATGTAGGAAGTCAATAATTGATATTAAATATTTTCTCTGTAAGAAGGAAATCTATTTATAACTATTGAAAAGAGGCTTGAAGTATATTTTTAAATTTAATTTGCACTTGTTTAAAAACAACGTCGTCTTTTAAAGACGATCTTTAGGGTCCTGGGCGCTGTTGAGCCCATCGCCCTGGGCGAGAGAAAAATATTTCCTTCCTTCGAATCCCGGCTGAGATGTTTTCTGTTCTTCGGACAGAGACGAAAGCAAATTTTGTTTGTTCCTGGGAAGGGATCTCATTGGCTAAGATCACAAACCCGAAAACTGTCCTGAGATCGAGAGGATGAATTTGTAAGAAACTGTCGTATTTGCCCTTAGTAAATACCGCAGAGTCTGCTGGTCACGTGTAAACTCGAGATTGGGGGTTGACGTGTTCCTTCACTCGTTCGCTTACGGCCCGTGAAGGAATAACGTGGCGGGATTGTTCGTTTTGACCAATGAGCGAACACAGGAAGGTCGGAACTCTGGGAAAAGTGTCCTGAGTTCGATTTCCTTCAAGGGCGGTTCCTTTAACTCTGAAAATAAGCGAGACAGAACAACGGAGCCAGGATCTGAGATTTTTATTTGCTTCGAAGTGGAGATTGCGGAAACGAAGGCCTCGATACTGGGTTCGAGTGCCGACAAGGGTGGTTTCTGTTGACGGGAACTCAACCGAGATAGACGAACGACGCCAAGGCAAAATTCTTTCGTTTCGGAGAGGAAATTACGGGGTCTAAGGTCACAGACACGGATACACAGTCCTCTGTTCGAGTCTTTCTCTTAAGGTGTTGGTTTCTGAGGTAATTTTTACGGGCGTATTAAACGATACACGTTTACTGATTAGGCCTATAAGCTACCAGGTGTCTCAAAATTAAGGTCTTGATATTTTGTGGTTATAATAGACCATGTTTTTTATTCATTCTAATTAGGCCTATACGCTACCAGGTGTCTCAAAATTAAGGTGCTGATATTTTGT